CCCCAAAACCCCAAAACCCCAAAACCCCAAAACCCCAAAACCCCTTAAAACTTAATTAAAATTGTGTCGTTAATTATTCACTCATCTAGAAGGTCTGTAGTTAAAATCTGACATGTTTTCAGAAGACCCACTAGATAAGATAGGCTTAGTCTCAAATTTGTTGCTTCCATTCCTATTAGGTCTGATTAGCACCACTTCTTGCCTTCCTTCATAAGTTTGGGACTCTTTTAGGTGGCAATTTCTAGAGAAATTTAAAAGCAAAAACTTACCTCCTGGTGTTCCGGCTGTATTTAGCGTGATGTTGAGAGCTAGTATTAGCCTTAGAGCTATGCTGGCTGCTTCTCTTTGATTTAGTATAGCTTTGGTTAGAATTTCTGAAGCTGAGCTGCTTCATTAACATATTTGAAACAGAACTGCTCGCTTGAAGCATTGTTATAGACTCTTTTTGCACTCTTTCAGATTTATGACTGGCCTGTGGCTGGTTTTCATTTAAGAAACCCATAAATTTAGGCTGGACATCTTCAACGTTCTCCAAACTAGCGTTCACCCTACAGAAAGCTTGTTTGGGGATTCAGTGCTTTGAGGCATCGATAGAGTTCGATATCATTGAGCTTTCATTAATTTTATAACCATCAAGATCATAATCTATCTGGTCCATTAGAGTACTCCTGTTCATCTCTGGCATTGTAACAATATCCCTAGAGCCTCTAATCGAGGAGTAGTCAAGAATGCGCTGTTCAGGGTTAACTAAAATTTATAAGAGAAAAGGTACCTTTATAATCACTATTATCACAGTCAAAATAGTCACCGTTAACCATCCGTTCATGTCAACTGAAATAAATATCTAACTGTTCGCTGGATTCTTGGCTTTCTTCACCCTTCTTCATTTGTCCCTTCAGATTAGTCATCATGACGACTGGGCTTTTTTCATTAGCTACGCAGAGGTTAGACTCCTGAGTATTGGAAAGAGTATTGTTATTCTCCTGATTCTCAATGCTGTTGCGGTTAATATTTGAGGGAAATGTAATCGTCTTATCACTATCCTCCTTATTGTCAGTAATTCATTCTAAAGGATCAGCGAGCTGGTCTTACCCTTGCTAGCTTCTTCAATAACCTTCTCCAATGTGTTTCCGTCGCTAATTTCTTCATTAACTGTGAGATATTTCAGGCCTAAATTAAAATGATCAGTTGGGATAAATTTTTAACTTACATCTTTTTCCCTCATTAACGCTTGAATTAGCTGAGCCGCTCGATTTCATCTCTGAGCTTCCTTCAATGTAGGAGATATCTGGAGGGGAGCTTCTTTGAGAGAGTTTCTGGCTACTCACCTGAACTTCTTCTTTAATATTCTTTATCTCAGACCCAAAGCCATGGAAAATATTCTTGATAATGTCGTTTTGCTCTCTGAATTTGTTATTATGTTCCTCAAAAATATCCTGAATTTTGGAGTCAAGTTCCTCATAAAGCTTCCAGACGAGGTCTTCAAGGGATGAGAGTCTCTTCATAACTAGACCATTACTGTCTGGTTTGGTATAGGGATAGCGTTCTTCTATTCTATCAACTCTTTTGCAGAATTTGCGGCTTCCTTCCTGAATACTTAGAGAGTAAGCTCCTCCAGTAGAGGTATCATCATCGTTGATCATAGTAGTAGGTTTTATACCACTATCAATAATATAACTCCTGGTTTCCTTATCTTCATCCCACCTGGAGCACTCGGCAGACTGCCTCCTGTGACTAGGCTGCTGGAAGAGGATCTTTTGGGACTTAGAATACCTAAATCCAGATTCAGTTGGATCATGAGCTTTTAAGTTGTTAATTCCTCTCAAGTTTAAGCCAACGGGCCTATCAAGAGCTGAATTTCACTTCTCCCTATCATCTGTTCAATCTAGAATCAAATTATGATAGGAATGGAGAGCTGCCTACCTTGCTTCCAGTTTGACTCTTTTGTTGGGCTTTGCGAATAAAGACTATCAGACATTTTGTAACAATTAATTATTAACTATCAACGGTCAGGTAGATTTGAGGGGTTTTGGGGTTTTGGGGTTTTGGGGTTTTGGGGTTTTGGGG